AGGTGCACCCACACACACACACACACACACACACACAGTATGTAACAACAACAACAAAAACCGGAAGACAAAAGGTGCACCCACACACACACAGTATGTAACAAGTAAATGTCACATCTAAGGTGGAAATCACCAGCCCTTCTCTCCTAGTCCATCTCAGGCGAGCAGCTCCACTGAGCCTGTTTAGCATCACAGCCACGTGCAAGTCTCCACAGACAGATGGAGGGGTGGCGGTGGAGCGTGAGGTGCACTGGCCAGGAATTGAACCCAGTCTCCTGTGAGGGAGGCAAGTGGCCTACCGCTAAACCATCCATGCCCCATACGAACTAGGAGAAAGCACCTGGTGATCTTCTTTCAAAGAACCAGCCAATGTCAACCCAAGGGTCAGAGCAGTCCAAATGGCCAGTGATCCCAGGGATGGTGTGGGCTGCTTTCCATCCCACTGGGCACTAAGTCAGCACGAATCTGGTGCTGATTTGACTGTGGTGAACAGCAGCCAAGTGAAGAACATCTGCCCAGCTTCATACAGGCGTTTGTGCAAAGGACATTATTAAGTTGGAGAAAACGTCTCACAAACTGAAAACATGGCACACTATAGTAAAGCCTGAAACAGAGGGGGGCTGTATCAAGTGGAAATCTGCTGGAGAAGGAAAATGCAAATATTATCCTCTGGAATAGACTGGGGCAGGGAAGGGGTGGAAACACCCCATCAAAGGTGGAAAATGTGGGAGTCCTGGAGAAACAAGGCAGTCCTGGAACGTTCTGACATTCACAGGTTTTATTCTTGTGTCATTGATTTGCTTCCAACTCTGTGGAGAAAAACTCTTACAAAGAGCCATTAAGACTAAAAGTCTATTTCAGAAAGAAAAAAGGAAGGAAAACCAACACCCAGGAAAACTCAAGAGTACACAAAATAACTGACAAGTATTCTGTCCAGGATAGGAATGTCACTTTCAAAGAAAACCATAAAATGTAGATTTCTTTATGTTCTGTACTACACACATTCCTTAACTGGGACTTGTTAGATGCTATCGAGAGGGAAGTGACTAACAGCTGACTCCCAAGTAGGTTTTTAGGGACAGTAAATTGCACAGATGCCTTTGAGCTGTAGTGCTGGAGAAGAGCACTGAACATTCCATGGACGGCCAAGAGAACAAACAGCTATGTCTTGGAGAGGGTGCTCTTTGGAGGTGAGGATGATGAGGCTTCTTTGCCTCACATACTTTGGGCATGTAGCTAGGAGGGGCTATTCCCTGGAGAGGGACATGATGCTGGGAAGGGTGGAGGGTCAGTGAAGGAGAGGAAGACCCTCAACCAGGTGGACTGACACAGTGACTGCTGCAATGGGCTCTTGTGTGTCTGGAAGTGTGAGGACAGCGCAGGACGGGACAGGGTTTGGATCTGTTGTTCACAGGGTCACTAAGGGTCTCTCTCGACTCAAGGGTACCTAACAACAACAACATAACAAATGTGACAGGAATGTTGCCCATCTTTCTCCTTCAGAGTAGCTGGTGGATTCGAACCTCCTGTTTTGGGGTTGGCTGTGTAAATCCTTATCACTAGGCCACAACAAGATGTTATGGAGCTGGTCTGACTCACGGGGATCTCGTGTATCCAAGGGGAACTATGTTCCTGGGCTTTTCAATGGATGGCTTTGGGGAGGTAGATCACTAGACATTGATTCCTAAGCACCTCTGGATGGACTTGATCTTCCAACCTTTAGTTAGTATCCAGTGGTGTTAATCATTTGTATGGCCCAGGCGCTCCATGTTACCTAAGTTGTCAAGTTGATTCTGACGTAAGCAAAGCCGTATGTGCAGAGTGAAACTGTGACTTCCTGAAGGCTGATTATTAGGCCTGCTGTCAGAGGTAGCCACTGGGTGAGTCTGAACTGCCAGCCTGTCAGTAAGTTTCTAGCTGAGCACTTAACCATCCATGCCTCTCAGGGCCTCCTAATCTGCATTATTGGTTTTGTGCGTACCATCCAGTAGCTGTGGTTTCATAGTGACCCCACAGTGTAGGTTAAAGACAAAGTGTAACTTAAACAACTGACTGGTGGGAGGCGAGGGGAGGAAAAGCGTGCAGGGAATTGTAGGTGAGGCTTCCCTGTCCCTGACAAAGCCTCACCAGGGCCCAGCACCACATCGGGGACCCATATTCAGGGCTTCCCAGTTCAAATGAGGAGAAAAGACCATACCAGGTCACTGGGTAAGCCTGGAGAGGTGCAAAGAGGTGAGTTGGGAAATGTATTATTGGAAACAAGTTATTTTTTACCTTCGGGAGGACATCTATTAGACAGGCCAGGCCAGGCCAGGATTGGGAAAGAAGGGGGGTGAGGAGGGAAGGCCAGCCTTGTCAGGGAGGGGTGCTGCGATGGCCTCTGCGGGGTTAGAGGGTGAGGTGGGGAGAGTCAGGGTGGGGAGGATGTGACAGGAAAGGCTGAGTCACGGGCTCACTGGGAACCCAGGCCAGCTGGAGGAAAGGTCGTGGTCAGCGTGTCCTCAGGGGAGCTCAGTGTCTCCTCAGGAGAGGCGAGTGTCTCCTCAGGGCAAGGTGAAGGCCAAGGGCCCCACAGCCCCCGGGGGAAGAGGTCAGTCAGGAGGAGGGCCTTGCACTGATCTAGCCCTTTCCACTGCCTCCTGAGAAAAGTCACTGCATACGAACAACGGGAGATAAGAGACATCAAGGCTCGCTGCAGGATGAGAACCACAATAAAGGGAGACACAGAGCAGGGGGCATCTGACCCAAGGAATGATGTGCCCCCTCCTCCAAGGGGCTGGGGGAGGACGAGGACACCCTTCCGGACTCCAAGCCCAGAGTATCTCCCCCTTTATTTCACAAGATAGGAACATGATGTCATGTCTTCTTCTTACTCATCCCATCGGCACACTCCAGCGACTGGCAGTTCTTGAGGACTGCTTTCCTCGGGCTCAGTGGGCCCAGCAGACTCTGACTGGCCTGTGGCATGACCATAGCCTGAGATGGTGTCATCTTCAGCCCTCTCCCGCCGGCCATTTCTCTGGGCTCGGAGGCACCTAACTGGCACAGATCGATCGTGTATTTGTCCTGACGCCTCCACTCAGCTCACTGTGTGACCATGAACAGCACTTGATGCCTTTGTGCCTCAGTTTCCTCACCTCTTAATGAGGATACAGGGTCAACCTCCCAGCCCTGTTAGGAGGGCTGTGTGAGGTTGAGAGCTCACATAATGCCTTATTCAACACCACAGAAAAATACCATAGAGCATCTCCAATGTCACAGGGACAGTCCTGAGGAGGGTGATGATAGAAGCTGCCACTGAATTGTCTCTGACTCATCATGACCCTCCGTCCAAGCCTCCTGATACTCTGTTTCAAGCTTTCAGCTACTGAGAAGTTAACTGTGCTGCCCAGGGTGAACCAGGACCATGTGCAGAGTTATCTTTTAAGGTCTTCTGTGTGGTGGGAGCAAAAAGACTCAACTCTGGCTCTTCTACTTCCACACCTCAAATTCTGGGGCAGAGTCCTCCATCCTGGCTGCTGAGCTGCGGGGACCACACAAGGGCAGGGCCACTGCAGGGCGGTGTAGCAAGATAATGGACCTGCAAGGGTAGCAGCCACCACGATGGGCAAGCCGGAAGTAGAGCTGAGTGCTGGAAGGGAAGCTGACTCCACGCCAGCTGGGTTCCCCAGGAACGATGCAGCCAGCGGAAACAGAGGCCCTCTGAGAGGAAGGAAGCAAAAGAGAGCCCAGCGTCCACGCCCTCTGACCAATGCAAGGTGCTGACAGGCCACCAAAAAGGGTATGAATCCCCTGGGCTTTTACCTATCCTAATGAAACTAAGCCAGAGGCCACTGAGTCACGGCAAACCCGCAGTTTTCAGGGTTGTGATCTTACATTCACAGATCACCTGGCCTTTCTTCCAAGGCGCCTCTAGCCATGTTTAAAGTGCCAGCCTCTTGGTCAGTAGTTAAATGCAGCTGATCCCTTGTGAACTGACACAATGACTGCAGCAGTGGGCGTGAGTGTGTCAGAGATTGTGAGGCTGGCACAAGACAGGACAGGGTTCACATCTGCTGTTCAAAGGGTTGCTCTGAGTCATACTTGACTTGACAGCACCTGACAACAACAATCCATGCTGAACACCCACTGGAGGGTCAGCTATGGATTGGTTCCAACTCGAAGGTCCACAACAGCTACACCCTGATTCAGCAAGTTCACCACTGTAGCAACTGCAAATGTATTCATATACATACATAAATCAATTCTTTCTGCTTTAGCATGTTTTCTTTCTAAACATGCTTATCAGACAAAGCTGCCTAATTTCCAAACTAAAGTCACTCTGGTGAGCAAGGGTTAAGAAGCTGCACTGCAATCCCAACATCAAGTGGTTTGAATCCACCAGATGCTCTACAGGAGAAAGATGGGCAGTCTCCTCCCATGTGATTTACTCCTTCTGAAAATCCGACAGAGGGCCAGCCACGGGCCGGTTCCAACTCGATGGTGCTTAAGAACAACACGGTGGGAGACCTCGCGGCACAGTCCACGGTGATGCACTGCTCAGCAAATCCCCCAAGGTGCCCACCCAAACAGCTTCCTACAATTTCGCTACTAAATTCATTTATAAGAGTTAAGATGAGTTAATAGCTCCTGTAATTAAACCAAGCCAAGCCCCACTTTTGAAAACTTCATTGTTTTCCTGAAGGTTCCTTCATTTGACTACAAAAATTTCCCCATCAATATCTGAATTAGTGAGCTGAAGCTTGGCGATGACGCAGCCTTAATGAACACCATTCTCTATGCCAAGCAGGGCTCGCCAGCTGCCCAATGAAAACACAGAGATTTTCATATCCTTCAAGACGACCTTTGTGATTACTCAGGGGCTTTCGAAATTAAGTCTCGGTAGTATAGTTTGATTGCTAAACCTAAAGGCAGGTCACTAAATAACTCCGACAGTCTCTTCAGCTTTACCAGGCAAGTGAAAACTCCATTTTCATTTCCAATCACTAATGCGGACTTACCGAGGTCAATGAGAATCGCGTGCTGCTGCGAGGTGAGCTGCTTCAGGAGTTCTTTGTACGGTGTGTCCTTGGGCTGCTGTTTACTGGGGAACTGGTACCTCAAGTGGTATTGCTCTGCTAGGAATTTCCAGATTTCGCCACGGTGATGACGGGGCACACCTTTAGGAGAAGCAGAAAAGATAAAAGGTGACATCAATGCACAAAGTGACGTCCCTGGATGGTATAGATGGTTAACACACAGGTTGCTAACTGAAAGGCTCACGGTTCGAGGACCCACCCCCCACAGAGGCTTTTGCAAGAAAATGCTGGTGGCTCGCTTCTGCAAGGTTACTTAATCAGAAAGTAAATGGAGTCCTGGTCTACCCTGAAATACTTGGATGCCTGTGAGTCCGGATCCACTCGACTCTTCGTGCCACTGATGTGCACACAATACAACTTATTAACAAAAATTAAGTGCACTACAAATAAATATCCTTATAAAGAGAAAAAAATTCCTTGATCCAAATCCTTGCTGCATTATGAATTAACAGCACAGGAATGGAAAGGACATTGTCCTAATACTATATTTGCTCCCTTTCTACCAATAATCTCCCCTAATTTACCTAATACTTTTCTATTTTCCTTCCATATTTGAGGTTCTGTCTCACATACTTTGGGCATGTGGCCAGGAGGGACCAGTCCTTGGAGAAGGACATCATCCTTCGAAGGGTGGAAAGACAGCACAGGAGAGGAAGTCCTCGGATGAGACGGATTGACACAGTATCTGGGGCAATGGGGGTAGGTGTTTCGGAGTCAGTGAGACTGGCTCAGGACAGGGCAGGCTTCAGAAGTGTTGTACATAGGGTCGCTATGAGTCACAGGTAACTCGACAGCACATAACACCACCACCACCACCAACAACCATGTTCTCTGCTAGACTCTGGAAGGAATAAGCCAACAAGCAACACAGAATCCACCGGCCTTAGCCAATTGCTAGTGTTCTCAGAAAGTAAGACCAAGCATGAAGGCTTGAAATATAAAATGTGACCAATGCCACAAGGAGGACCAAATCAAAGCCGGGTAGAGCCCAGCTGAAAGGCAGCTAGCTCATTTCTCACCAAGCACAGATGGTTTCATAGAATCCTTCACTTGGGGGCTGAGGGAGATGGGAATGAGAAGACAAGCTGTAGATGACCTTGGGCACAGAGAGAGCCAAGAGCAATCTAAGGCTTAAAGGCTCTATTATAAGAAAAATGAAAGGTAAGAAATCTGCAGGGAATCACTATATTTCTGGGTTAGGGCAGGAATGAGTAATCAAAACTGAGATCCTGGAATATAACGCCACAGCTTCCTGCAGCACAGCTGGTCAGGCAGCCCTCTGCATAAACGTGCCATGGTGAGTATTCAGTGAAGACCCCAAATCTACAAAAATGATGCGTTACCACATCCTGGTTTAGATAATGTTAATGTGAATACTCAGAGTGATTAAAAATGTCACCTCAAAGTAGGAAAGGTTCAAAACCCAAAGTGGCAGCTCTGAATGAAATATTGTACTATATTCAGCAGCTGCTGTTGTGTTGTGTAGCACTGAGTCAGAACAGATCCATAGATGATCCATAGGTTTTAAAGGCGGTTAATTGCATAGGAGGAGACTGCCCATCCTTCTCCCATGGAGCAGCTGGTGGATTTGAACTGTGTACGTTCCGGATTGCAACACAGCTTTTTACCCTAGAAACTGAGGGAGGGGGAAGACTGCAAAGAACTCCACTGAAGAGTCAGCTATGAGTCTATTTCGACATGACGGCAATGAGTAAGAGAATATGGCTATGATCTCCCCTGACACAGTTAACTTGTTTAAAAAGAAAAACTAGCCTGGAGAGAGATGTATGGGGACCACACCTAACCCTCTCGACATCAAAGGGCTTCTTTAACTGTTTCAGTTAACATTCGCCTGATGACAGTCACGTGAAGTGATGGCCATGAGAAGGACGTCCGTGTCCTCGGCCCTGGGATATATCAAATGATCTTATTTGTACACACACCAAAAAAAGGTTTTTGCAGAGAGAAGGAAGTTAAGGATCCTGAGAAAGAAGACCATTCTGGATTCTCTGGACGGCCTTCCGTCTCCTGACAAAGGCTCTTACAGACAAGACAGGGAAGATGAGAAGAGGAAGCATGAGTGTGACCACAAAGCATGACAGGAGCAACATGGCTTTGAGGCAAGGAACTCCAATAGCGACCAGAAGCTGAGAGAAGCAAAATACAGACTGTCCCCAGAGCCTCCGCAGATACTTCAATTTCAGACTTCAGACTTCCAGGGCTCTGACAGAGCCTGTTGTGGAGGGGTTGCTGTGGAGGGTTTTTGGTTTTTTTTTTAACTTTTTTTTTATTGGCTTGCTTACAAAGTTTATATATATTGTATTCACACTATTCTTCATTCACATTGTGCTTCATACAATCATTCTCATGCATTATGTTTTATAAAATTATTGGACATTGCCCATTATTACCCTTTTAGCCCAGATCCTTCCCATTTGCTTCCCCCCCACCCTCCAAACTGTGTAGCCCTGTGGTTCACCCCATATTCGTCATCACCTCTCCGTTCCCCATTCCCCTTCTTGAGTCTCTGTACATGTTTTACTAGTTACCCTTCTACTTTCACAATAAAGGTCTTATGTAGTATTTGTCCTTATGAAACTGAGTTAGTTCACTCAGCATACTGCTCTCCAGCCACTTCCAAGCTATATAGTATTTTTCAAAATTGTTGCTTCTGAGTGCTACATAGTAATCCATTATATGAATGTGCCACAATTTCTCAATTCATTCAGTTATGGTTGGACATGTGACTGTTTCCATGTTCTTGCAATGGTAAATAATGCTGCTATGAACACTGGTGTACAGATCTCCATTTGTGTCTCAGTTCTAATTACCTTGGGGTAAATTCCTAGTAGTGGATTAGCTGGGTCATATGGAGTTTCTATGTTTGACTTTTTGAGGAAACTCTTCCAGAGTAACTGCATCATTTTACAATCCCACCAACATAGTAACAATGTATGAGAGTTCCCACCTCTCCACATCCCACATCCCATCCAACATTTATTGCTTATTACCCTACTAAACTTTGTCATTGCTACTGGGGTAGGATGGTAACTCATTGAAAATCCGTTGTTTTAAATACCCAGTTGGTGGTAAGTTGTCAAAGCAGTAACAATAAATGCATGTATCTAAATATCTGCTTATAATAATGCTCTATTATTTGTCATCCTGCTTAAAGATACATACTACGTATACACACACAAACCCAACACACATCGTGTCCTTAATATTTTATCTGGATCCTTCAAACTCTAATTAAAAATAATAGTTAGCTGAGAAACAGTATGTTATTTATGGTGGGGATTTTAAAAAATCTTCCCCCCCTCCAAAACTGGAAATTTTTCCCAAATCATGAGACATTCAACTTCCTCTAATTACTAAAAGCACTGCCATTATCTTATCAGACGGCTGGTTTCTGGAGGAAAGCATACTGGCTGTGCCACTGACAGGGCCATATATTCTGGTAGCTAAGAGGAAAGCCCGGATTTTGAGATTTAAGAACAAAGAGGTGTTTAAATCAGGGCCAATGTTTTTTTGCTAGGGTTGGTCTGGAACATCCTTTGCACTACTCAGCTGGGCCTTCACTCCAAAGCCAGAGGAGAAAGCCTGAGGAGAAAACCTAGCTCTGCAAGGGGTCCTGAAGGGGTAAGTGTTGGGGCAAAAGCCATTTTGCCGCAAAATATAAGTAGCTTTTTCACTTTCACTTACTTTAAAGTTAAGACATGGTGTTGATAGTGGTGTCTGAGTAGCACTCACAGCGACCTTATGAACAACAGAGCTGAACCCTGTCCTGTCCTGTGCCATCCTCATTGTCGCTGACACGCCTGTGCCCATCGCTGCAGTCACTGGGCCAGTTCATCGCGCCGAGGATCTTCCTCTCTTTCATTTAGCAAATTGTCTCACACCACTTGTCACACTCCTAAGTAAGGCTTTAGTTTGTCATATCTAAAACAAAAATGATGGTCACGTGGAATTTTTTTGGGGGGGAGAGTCTTAAACTGCGTCACAATAAACATTCTACTGCAGTACATTTTTGACTGGTTCATTTTAAAATAAATAAAGCATTGCTAGGTCAAAGGTAAACCAAGTTTATAAATGGCTCATGGCACCAACTACTCAAGTTCCCTACTAAGTACTACTGTGGTATCTTTTAGCAGTGCTGTTAACTAAAGGGTAAGGAGTTGTGCTGCCAACCCAAAGGCAGGTGGTTTGGATCCATCAGCTGCCCAGAGGGAGTAAGATGGGCATTATCTAGTCAATGACAAGAGGGAAAAGGCCCTTCCCTGCCCTGCTCTCTCCCTTTTTTGTCACTGATGTATAAACCAGATTAGAAGTAGTCCTACTGACACCTTGATTTTGGACTTCTGCCACCAAGAATTGAAAGAGTCTGTTTTTCAAGGCATCCACAGTATCTGTACTGGGAAAAGTTACCCCCCTGAGGCCTTTCAGACTCAGAGAATGTGAGCAGGGAAGAGCAGCCTCGGAGTCTTTTGCTTCAAAAAGATGTGTGCCAAAAAAGTCAGGGGGAATGGCCAGCGCTCATACTGGACACTGCTGGATACTCAGAAACTGAATCTTTGCCACCAGCAGATATTTCTGGTCTATTGACAACACCAGCCAGTGCTCCATGGCAATCAGACATCCAGCAGACTAGACTGTAGGCCCAGTTCCGTGGCCCTGAGCCCCTTACTCAATTGCTCTAAGTTTCCATGGAAAGGGAACAGTGCTGTTGTTAGGTGCTATCGAGCTGCCTGCGACTCACAGGGACCATGTGGACTATAATCTGACCTGTGCTCCATCCTGTACCAGGCTCATGACCTCTGTGTCACACTCTATGTCACTGGGTCAATTCATCTTGTTGAGGGTCGACCTTTCATTTGTCTTTCTCTGACCCTTCACTTTCCCCAACAAGATGTCCTTTTTCAAGGACTAGCCCTTCCTGACAATTTGCCCAAAGTATATGAGTTTCACCAGCCTTGTCTGTAAGGAGCACCTCCTGATTGCACTTCCTCTGAGAGAGATTTGTTTGTTCTTTTGTCCGTCCATGGGGTATTCAGTACTCTTAACACCACAGTTCAAAAGTA